ATTTGTCTCAGTTTATCAGAAGTGTAGCTTTTTTGAACCAGTTGCATTGTTCTGAACAGTTCTTTTTTTTCTAGCTTTGTGTCAGTGGTGGTAACAAAGCTGGCACTGTTCTGTCAGTCAGGGGTGGGTGTCTTCACTGGCACAGTGGTGCCTGGATTTTGGATTTAGAAATGCAGTTCAGTTTCATGTAGCTAATGATTTGATTTTGTTTGACAATTCAAACTGATAAAAATTCAGAACATGAAACTCTGTTCCACTTCCTGAACAACCAGACTCCTACCCCAGAATAAAACTCCTACCCCAGAATAAAGATGTCTGCATGCTGTTAGTAAAACTTTACAAGTAGACAGATCCTTGGATATTTTTTATTGCATACATAAGAGATCATGGAGTGAGCAGCGTAGTTTCTGTCAGTATCCTCTCTCCATGCTTCCCAAGGATCCCTTCGTTTCACTAACTAAATTTTCTAGTCCTCAATCTGTGTTCTTTAGTGTCTATAATACTTTCTAATGTTACATCATTTCACTTTCACATGGATATTACTTCCTCACCTTTCAGCTGCCCTGTTTTCTATAGCTGCCAGTTGCTTGTGTTCCAGCTCTTCATTTAGTCCAGCTTCTCCCCCATAAAATTGCTCTGTACATAATATAATCTTCATAGAGCTTTACTGTATCTTTCTTACTTCTTAAATTGCCTTGAAATAGCGGTGCTGTAGTGAAATACCTTTATAAGGACAAGTAGTGAGACTTTAGTGTGTTGGACACAAGTGCTTGCTTGCAGCACAATAGTACTGCTAGTGTACAGAGGAGTGATAGTCTCTTTTTATTTGATTCTGTAATAAGCACAATAAATACTAAAGACATAAGACTAAAAATAGCCTTTTCTTAAATAGCTCAGTATATCTTATAGTATGGTACAAATCTGAATTCTGTGCAGTCTGGCGGGCGCGTGATGATTTAACTGGGATGTGTCACTGTTTATGTCTGTTCTGAGATAAGCATGCTTGTGTAACAGTAAACAATGAGGTTATCTGGGTGAGCTGAATCTCCTGGAAAATAAAGGCTTACTATGTTGTTTGTGTCTTGCAGACAAGATAGTGAAACAGGCTGGTGAGCTGAAAAATGCCCATGTTTGTGAAGTGGGCCCTGGGCCAGGAGGAATTACCAGATCCATTCTCAGTGCTGGTGTTGAACAACTCCTTTTAATTGAAAAAGATGCTCGATTTATTCCAGGATTGCAGGTACCAACTGGAGAATAATTTGTGTATATATAACCACAGCATTGAATAAGAACATTCTGAGAACTTAGAGAGATTCCAGGTGTCTTGTTGGAATCTCAGCACTGAAAATAGGTTTGGTTCTGTGGCAGAAACCAGAGCTGTAATTTGCTTGAAGATACACAGTATTACAATTCATTGTTCCTGCTTTCTCATAGGCCCTTTAGGACCTTATCCTGCAACTGAGTTACTGCCAAGGCTTGTTGGTTTTGAGGTTTTTTTCAGGCTTTGATATTTCAGGTGCATTTCGTCATGCTGGTGAAATCATAATTTGAAGGTTGAATGTAATGTCCTTATGCATGGTTTTATATTTCATTTTAATCCCAATAATTTTGCTTTATAAAATTGAGAAGGTGTATCTCTAGTTAGTACAGTCAATGTGGGTTAACATCCAGGTAGAGAAGAAAAAAGCAAGCATCTATTTTACATTTTCATAAAAACACTCTTAAGCTTTTCTTCCTTTTTTTTTTTAATTGTTATAAGTTCATGACTCATTGTGGCATTTTCAAATGCCATTTACTTGTGGTGCTGGATGATTATGGAATTTGGCTGTATAAATCCATCGAGAAATGCAGAATCCAAAAATCTTAAAGTTTTACTGTTTTCTTATGTCTCTACAATCTCAGATTAGAACAATTCAAAGGGCTTTCCTTAAATTGCACTGTGTCTTTTTCACTAAATCAGCAGTGAAAATAAATAGATAGTACCAGTTCTCAAGTATACTATCTCTTTAAATGATGAAAATAATGTAAGGTATGAATGAAACTGATCATACCCTGAAACTTAAATGTGCATGTAATTATGTCTTTGTGGGCTTAGCCGTTAATAATGTATAATATGCCATCTTTGTCTTGTGAAATGTGAAACCATGTTTTCATTTGAGTGGGGGCAATCAGCATTTTTGTTTTAGATTTCGAGAACTGGTTTGGAACTCAAGAGAATTTGAGGTTAAATTACACTTGTTTTAGTTAAGAGAGCTTTTTAAGTACTTGGATGGTTTTGTTTCTGATCTTCTAAAATACATCTTCTGCAACAGTTTTATCTGAATAAAAGTATGCTTCTCAACATCTAAAATGAGCTTTTGGTATGTAATTATCTTTACTATTCAAGTGACATAATGTTAGTCATTATTTTTAATTGCCAATCTCCTCAGAGTAGAAGTGAATGTCTGAATGAGGTTATTGAACATAGAGGTGGTATAGCTCAGTAACAGAGGATGTGGATGGTCAAGAAATGTGTTGCAGCCATTGGTGTTCAATTTGTTGCTTTTTTCCCTACAAATAAGAAGATATTTAACAGCGGATCTTTCTTTTCTAATAATGTGGGTTGAAATAACTTCTCAGGTTTCCCAAGCAAACTATCAAAACTCATGCTCATAAAATGTTTGAGATTTTAATAGGGGAAAATGTCAGAGATGAAAAGTGGGGAGTATTACTTTAAATATCTCTTAGATACTTTTAAAATCGTTGACGCAAAGCATACAGCATTTTACATTAACTGTTTTTCAAGCTGTGGTCTCTCACAAAACTGAAGTGGGGATATTCTTTACTGCAGAACTGAAATACAGTGAAGAACATATGTGCACTGAGCTGAGCGTCTGTCAGTTCTGTCTCAGTCTTAAAGAATCCCAACCTTTCTGCCATATGCCCTATTAGCTTTCAGGCTGGAAAGATTGATAAAGAGAGCAAGAGAATGTACTGAATATAGGATTATATGAGGAACACCATTTCATGTTTTAAACTATGCCCTTTATGCCTCCTTTGTGTCCTTTTGGTTGTGGTTAAAGAATGAGATGGAACATTCTTGGCTGGTGTCCTTGATGCAGGAGCTCCTGGAGCTGTGTTAGCTGGACACGTTTTCCCCTCAAATGAAAAAAACTTCACTGAGTTTCCAAGTCTTTATTTTAAATTAGAAATATAAGACAATGATTTTCTGGTCACAAATTAAATGCAATTCTCAGTTATGTATAGTGTGTTTCTGAGCAGCCCCTAAACTCAATCTTGATAAGAAAACTGTTATTAGCAAATGACATTGTTTTCTAACTTTATTAATCTTACATTATTTTTCAGTATAATCATGCTAGAGCATTTGTTACAGCTTCAAAGAAAGGTTTGACAAACCATGGCAGATTAGTGAATTTATATGTCACATAATTGCTAGTGTAATGCTGAAAAGTCCATTAAGTGGTTTGGACTTGAGATTAGTTTTATTTTTTCTGTTTGGAAATAATTGCACTTAAAACATGTAGGAACATTTAGGGTTTTTGTTAAGCTTTTATTGCTCTACATAAAACTTAGCTTTTTTGATAATTAAAAACCGTAAACTTTTACTCAAAAAAATTTCATGACAACATTTTGTGAACTGTAGGAGAAAGCAGTATTTTCCTTTGGCTCAGAGAATTGTGAAAGCTCATTGTGCCCCTGAGCATATAAACATTATTCAGATTGAAAATGGGACTACAATGATGAGCAGTTTATTTTGGCAGTTAGGCCACTGGAACTTAACTGTTTATGAATTTGGATTTCTGTGCAAAAGCAAAGTTGTTTTTTAAGCAATTGTTCATTATTGTCTTATGGGATCAATAAATATCCCCAAATGTCATCTTTGAAAAAGTCTCTACTGCTTTTGAATTGTGCTGTTTGTGCATAGTTTCATAGTGTAAGAGAAAAGATTCATACAACATTAAAGAAGCTTAACTAACTTTAATTATGGGTACTAACACCAGAAATGAAAGAATTGGTTGTCAAACTACAGCCAGCGCTGAGTTTGCATATCAGCCTTTATTAAATATGAGATAAGTTGTGCAAGTGGGCTGCAGAAGCTGACAATGAAGATGATTTTGTAATGTTTAGGAAGATAGAAATTATTGAGATCTTCCCTCCTGCTAGATACTAATTTCATCTTTTAAGTGGATTCCTTGTTTTTTAATGGTAGAAGTGTAGACTACTACAGGGCGTACCAAGAGAATCTTTTCCATATTTTTCATGTAAAAGGAATAATTAGTATTTCTGCAGCCTTGTATCACATGTGGCTGAAATTGGATAATAGGCCCTTAAGCTGTGGGGAAAACAAAAATCCAACATTAGCCCTTGTTTTTAAAAGTAATTGATCTAAAAACTTTTCAAAACCTCCTGCTTGCATTATTATTTAAAGCAGGTGAGGTCCTGATAGTGACCTGGGACTTGTTAATTGTTGTTGAAGAGACTCTTAGCAGTCTTTTCAAGTTTGAATTCTCTATTAAGAATTCTACATGTGTGAATAGTTAAGTGGTTACAGAATCACACATCAATCTATATCTAGTGTTTGCTTTTTGAAAGTAAATACTTACTAATAGTGTTCTCCATTTTAACTCCTACTGTGCTCTGTTGTATGTTGAAGATAAATATATAGGAATGGTTTGATTCCTGCAGTGGCTGAAACTGGAAATCTGTTTGGTTAACACTCACTGTGGGTTCTGCTGGCTTATTTACAAACAGATGCTATCTGAAGCAGCTCCAGGAAAGGTGTGCATCGTTCATGGAGATATCCTGACCTATAAGATGGAGAAGGCTTTTCCAAAGCACTTAAAAAAAAGCTGGGATGATGGTTAGTATTTTCATTTTTTAGGGCTTCTGAGTCAGTCTTAAGTAGTGATAAAATTGAAGTTCACTCAGTGCAGGTGTTACTCTCTTCTGGTATATGTTAAAGAGACAACTGTTTGATTATTTTGAGGATTGTTAGGACTCAGTAAAATGCCTCTGGGAGGGTGTGTTGGACAGAAGTACGAGTATGGCTTTTTACTCTGTACCTAATAGTCATACTTTGAAATCACAGGAACACTGTTTTGGTTTTGCCACTCTGGAGTAGCTCAGTACTCATCAGCTGAAATCATCTGAAAGCTACTGATTTATTCAAATGTAAATGAGAACTAGACCTAACCCCTTTTTTCCAAGTAAATACTGAGAATAGTAACACAGATTTTTCAGTGTAGGATGAGTATAAATGGACAGGCATCATTTTGGTGTGGCGTGATAAAAAATTGTTTCCATATTTGAAGTCTAGGTTGATAGGCATGTATCTTTCTTGTGTTTTATTTCTTAGCAAAATCTTACCCAAAACTTTTTCACAGCTGTTTTTCTTCTGTCAAATGTCAACAGAACCACCAGATATACATGTCATTGGGAATCTGCCCTTCAGTGTTTCAACTCCTCTGATCATCAAGTGGCTTGAGAATGTTTCAAAAAGGGATGGACCTTTTATTTATGGCAGGACACAGATGACGCTGACTTTTCAAAAGGAAGTTGGGGAGGTAAAAATTTGGCATTTTTTCAATTTTGCATATTGTTAATATGCAATCTTTTGTTTAAAACTACAAACCCAGTTTTAGTTGACTTTGAAAAGAGAGGAAAAGGTTAGTTCTATTTTTAGTTTATGTGGTTATAAATTATAAATTTTGATGTGTTAATTATCTACTCTGATCCTTTCACAAGAATGTAATTTTTTTAAATTTTCTTATGCAGAGTTCTATTCTTTTTAATTTTTCTAGTTTTTAAATTTTCTTATACAGGGTTCTATTTCGTTGAGGTACTCTTCCTGTTCTTTTCTGTAGTCTGATTTCTTTAACATTAATAGATTGCACAGCACTCTTCAGTTTTCAGATGTGTTTATTCTCTCACAGACTTTTGTGCAACGTTTCATCAATCTGTTTTTCCTTACCTTTCATTCATCTCAAGAAACGCTTATAGTTTCTTTGTCTTCTTTATTAAAAATTATTTTTAAGAAACACCTTCCTTAAAATAAGGAAAAATGGAAGGTTACCATTATTTCCAGTTGTGATTAAGCACTTAAAACACAGGGGGTGTTTGTCAAGACCATGGAAATTGGCACTGGCTTTCTTGAATGACATCAGAATTATTAATGTATTCTGCCATTCTTGTGTGTGTGAAAAGGCCTTAATTGACTTCTGTCAAGAAGTCCAAGAGCAAATTGATATTTTATTTTGTATTAATAATTAGTTTCTCAAAGAAGGCTAGACTGATCTGCAGTGTAGTAGTGTTAATGACAGTTCAATTGGCTTACTCCACGGTGCTTTTAGACTTAACAATTTATTTGTATTGACATGGCATGAAACATATAAAACATAGAGAATGGAAAGCTTTTTTGCTTTGCAGTTATGGAAGCAGTCTGGCTTTTAGCAAGCATCTCACTTGCCTTTATAAAGAAAAAAAGGAGTTGCACATCAGCCTGAACACTGAATTTCCATCTTATTATTCATGTTTGTAACCTGCTGCGTTTTGTCTGTGCAGGCTCAATGAGTATGTTGTTTTAATTTTAATCCTTCTAAGTAAAAATCTGAATAGGAAACTTCTGCTTTTTTTTTTTTTTCTGTGAAAATTAGTAATAATTATATACGAAAGTAGAATGTCTGCTGTCATTTTTTGGGTCAAAAACACCCATATTGTGCCATCATTGCCCTAGCCTTTCAATCAGGATTGAAGAAGTATTTCCAGTAGGTGGCTCTAGAGAACACTAGGGACAAACATTTGATGTGAAATAAACCATATTTCTTAGTTCAATTCTGCTCATTTGGTATCAGACAGAATCCAGGTCTGTTTCCCAGAAGGACTTCATGTCAGGTGAGGCTAGGCCTTGTTGCAAAATATGGCTAATGGACTGTGATGTAAAATGCAGAGTGATGATAAGCAAGATGCATAGTTTTGTGATAGCAAAATTTCACCTAACACTGTGCGGGAGCACTCTGTCCTTCATATTCCTGTACCCAGCTGCATATGTCATTGGTGACACGCAGATTATGGTTCTTCTGCACCCAGTATTGCCCAATTAGCTGCAAAATACCATGCACACTTAAGGTCTTGTACATAAAACACTGAGGAGTTAGGAACACTAAGAAATGCAGTATGTTGTTCAAGGTCATGCAGTGAATCAGTGTTAGTTGTTGTTGAGTTTATAATCTCTTGATTCTTGTTCAACACAGGTCTTTCTCAAAAAGAAAATTGTTCATGGTTTTTGGTTTGCATTTCCATTATTGGTTTGATAACGTGAAAAGAAATAGTTTTGAAGGTGCTATTTTATTTTATGACTGGGAGAAAGAGCAATAATTAGGCTCTGTTCTCTTTTCTCCTGACCATCTGGAGTTGCTTCAGATAACCATGGTAAATAGGTGTGTACAGGCATAGTTAGTATCAGGAAAGAGAGAAGAGAGTAATGCAGATAATAGTGAGTTGCTACTGATATTTTTTGTATCTCTAGATTTGCAGTCTTGATAGGGGAATTTGGTGATCTCCCTGGATATTTCTAAGCTAAGAGCCTAAATATCAAAGAAAGTCTGTGTATATGTCATAAGCACAGCGAAAGCATAAGATGCATCATGGAATGGAGTGACGTGCTTTATAATTAGTTAAGATAACTTGATGTTAATAGTAAAAAAGAGAAGGAATGTACTCTTTTATTTATGATCAGACCCAGTATAACAGAGAAGTAAATACTTTTGCCTTTCTTGCTGGTTGTATTTTCTTGCTTTTCTGTTTCCTTGTAGCACAGCAATGTTGGTGTGAGTTATGTCACTAGACACCTACTACTGCAGCCCACTCTGTTCTGATATGATATAAATAAATTGATTAAAGCTGATGAGAACCAGCAGTTATTTTATATGCTGAATCTGAGGCTTGTTAAGGAGGATAAGGCCAAATATCCACATCAGGAAAAATGGCACTTCTGAGTGTCAAGCAGATAATTTGTTTTCTTTGTAGTTTAAATTTGTAAAATTGCTATTCACTTTGTGGGTAAGAACTTTTGTTTTGTCCCAAATTCTTCAGTGTTTCATCTCAAATCTGTTGCCTAGGCCAGGTTCTTCCAGCCCACTTACTCTAAAATTGATCTTCTAATGGGGTCTGTTGCTATAGAACAAGGAGAAATGGTTTTAAACCAGAAGAAGGTGGATTTATATATAAGGAAATCATTTTTTACAGTGAAGGTAGTGAAACACGAGGTTGCCAAGAAATGGGGTAGAAGCGCTATCCATGGAAACCTTCAAGGTCAGGCAGGGCAGGTCTCTGAGCAAGCTGACCTTGCTGCACATGTCCCTGCCCATGCTGGGGGTTTGTCTGGCTGATTCTGTGCAGGGGTGCTGTACACAAGTATGTTCCTGCTTCTGTGGTTGAAGTGGTTTAAGATGTTACTCTCCCGTTGTTAAGTTATCCCTTCTGTAATTGAGAAGCAGGAACTTACTGCCTGAGACTTGGTAGTTGGTTTCTGGGAGAAGTAAAGATAGGTTTGTTTGAATTGGTGCTGGATACAAGTGTTGCCATTAGGTCAGTTTCATTTCCACTGCGGAGGTTAAGGAAGTGCGTGTCAGATTGCATTGTTAAGACTTTGCAGTCTGGGTTTTTTTAGGGAATAATAATTTCCTTTGACACAACAATGAAGGTCGCTTTAAATGCTGGCATAGGCAGAAAGAATCACTGGGCATTCTTTCCAAAAAGTTGTTGAAAAGTATTTATTTGCTCCATGCTGAACTGTCTTTAGGAAGAGTTGTTTGAAAAAATGTGAAACTTTGGCAACAGGTTTAACTTTTAGATTTCAGGCATAAATTTAATAAACATGGCATCATTTCATGAGTAGGCTTTTCATATGGAACTACATGCTGTACAAATATTACCAGATATGCAAATTTTAGCGTGTGTTAGTGAAATTACTTCTGTAATTTGAGACTTGATTTACAAGATGCTTTATATGTTTCAATTTTGTTTGTGCAAGCAAAACACAATAAAATGTGTTTCTTGCCAGGTCACAAAGGCATAGGACTCTCTGTCCAGGCTACTATTTTGGAAAAAAAATCATTGGAAAATCAGAGTATACTTAAATTGAGTTTTAAGTATTAAATGCTCTCACTGTTAGGCATTCTAAATTTATGTAAAGTAGACCCAGCTTCCTGGCAAATATTGTAAGAGTAGGCCAGTTAATTATGAAGAACTTCTGGTTTCTAGCCGATATTGAGCTTATGGAGCTTTGTTTCATCATGAAGAAGAAAAAGAAGTCATAATATTTTATACAGAAACACTGGAAGGAAAGGATTGTGAGAGTACTTTCAGCTGGTGTTAGGTTTGTTTTGAATCCTGCAGTCAGAATAGTTTTATTTTTCTCTTGTATCCATACAAAATTCTTTTGACATTCATTTAGATCTGCAGAATTTCTAGGAGTTCTTTTTCATGTGCATTTGATTTCAGGACTGAGATTGTGAATTATTGTGGTATCTTAGTGAAATGCTGCTATATTGGAAGAAAATTTTAGATAAACCAGGCATACAATTTGATACAAGTTTTTAATGATTAACTGGTGTCTTAAATTTGATTATAACTGAAAATCAGGCTTTAATAGAACTGGTCACTTGTTCAGTTCAGTATCACTGATGTGCATGTTTTGATTTTCCCATAGAGACTTACAGCTAATCCAGGAAGTAGCCAACGCAGCAGACTGTCCATCATGGCTCAGCATCTCTGCACTGTGGAAAACTGTTTCATAATTCCAGGTCAAGCTTTTGTTCCAAAGCCAGAGGTAGGTTTTCCTGTTTTTATTTGTGGTTTTTGTTAATGTGTCAGTCAAGGAATGTATCTTATTTTCACTAAGGAACATTGCTGGCTGCTTTATTTGAGCATCTCTGTATTACAACGTGGAGTGATGTGAAATTCCTCTAAATGAAGCATGCTTATTCTGAGAAAGTGCTTCTTTTCCTTTTTTTTTTTTGGTGGTTTGTGGGTTTTTTTTCTTTGTTTGTTTTTGGTTTTTTGGGGTTTTTGTTTGTTTTTTTGTTTTGTTTTGTTCCTCAGAAGTTGGCTTTGACCTTCAAACCTATCTGCAAGATCAGCATACTTCTTGGGGTGTTCTGGAGAGGGAGATTAGGATTTAATGTCAGGATAGGACATGCTAGGACTGAAGTATTTTTTGAAAGCCTGCTGTTTTACCATTTGCATTTATAAACAGTTTGGGAATTGTGCCTTAAGAATTTGATGGGTCTTTTCAAAGACTGTGTTAAGAAAAGCTTTACATTTGTCACCTTTGTCAAACATCTCTAATTTTACCATGTCTATAATCTGTATGTTTCACCCCAGTCTTCTTTAGCATATTTTACTCCCTCCTATTTGCTACAGCAGTTTGTCAGCTGTATCCCACTGATTGTTTAAAAAAGTAACAATCTTTTCTCCCTCTTGTATATTCTTGAGTGAGTAGAGAACAATCTCTTTGTTGTTCTCTTATCTACTGCCACTGTTTTTTATTAATAGCCATTATGAGTACAGGAATCAAAAATTAAGAAATAATTCAGTGTTTTGGATAAAAGCTTGTTTTGTTTTAGTTTGGATTTTTTTGTAAAAATTCGTGCCTGACTTTAAGTGATGTCTGTGTCCCTGAATGCATGTGGGAATCATAGGCTTATAGAAATATTTGGGTTGGAAGGATGGTTGTTTAGTACCATTCCCATGCAATGAGCAGGAGCATCTTCAACTACTAGAGGTTGCTCAGAGCTCTTCCAATGTGATCTTGAATGTTTCCAGGGATGAGGCATCCACCTTTTCTCTGGGCAACATGTCTGTGTTTTACCAGCCTCATTGTAAAAAGCTTCTTCCTTATATCTAATTTAAATCAACTCTCTGGGAGTTTAAAACCATCACTACTTGACCTATCAAACTGCTCTTGTGTTTCAGGAGTGAACTTGCAGCTTCCTCTTAAATTGATTGGTTCAGCTCTTCAATACCTCTCCCTTCCTCTCTCTCTTGGTCTTTTTTACTTTTCTGGCATATCTCTTGAGAACCTTTGGAAGGTTATTTTCTTGTTTATCGCAGTGAATTGTAAGGCCGCTGTCTGGGTATATTTTGATGAAAATTTAAAATTCTGTTAGTATTTTTTGGGCAAGTAACTGTTCAAGCATGTTAAATTACAGCAGTCTGTTCTGAGAGAAAATGACCATGCTTAAGAAACCTTATTTTTTGCTTTGAGGTTTTGGTTTAGGTTTTTTTTCTCCATTTTTCCTAGCTGAATGGAAAATAATTTCAGGATGTCTTCTCACTGTCAAATATGTGAAATAGTTTTAAATAAGGCTAAAATTCCAGTTTCGTGGTGGGGATTTCTCAGTGGTGGGTACAACTTAAATACTAATAAAGCTAATGTAATTAAAAGCCTTGTGCAGACTGTGTCCCAGAATTGGGAAGCTCTAATTGGTATTTCCATTTTCCTGTACTGAAAAGGCTCTGTTTGAGTAAGAGTAACACACTTATAATAACAACCTCTTGTAAGAGTTGTAACAGACAACTTGTAAGAGTTGTGACAAATATCTTAGTATAATACTAACACATCCTAGAATCAGTTGGTGCTCTGTTGAATAAAAAAAGCAGTACAACTAAAGGCAGGCATATTTTTATTTTATGTATTTTTTGAGTTAAAACAAGTATCGCTTATACTGCAAAAGCAGAATTCTTTCAGACAGGACTGGCATATGTTTTCACTATTATTTTGTTTCCTTCACACACCTGTTGTAGACTGATCTTGTGTTTTGTCCTTGTTCTTTTAGCTGTAGACTGACATGGTTATAGATGTTACCATTTCTCAAAGAATCTGTTTTATTGCAATGTATAGAATTTCTCATAGAATCTGCTTTTGCAATGTACTGTGAATGAAATGGCTCTGTCCTTTATTTTTGTTTCATAGCTATATGAAATACAGCTACTTTATATAAAGATTTCAGGAAGAAAAATTTGCAGCATGTGTAACCAATAAACTTTGTTGTGCTCATGGTATGCTATTATTACTTTTTCCTTACACCCTCCTGTAAAAATGCCTCTTGATTATAATTTTTGCAAACAGATTTAACTCATGCACATGGTAGTGATCATGGCTTAGTGTCATGTCAAACCCCTTTCTGAAGGTGGAGATGCATGTTTGTGTAAAGGAGTTGTTTACCTCATTTGCTCAGTGCATGCATATTATTTCAACATTGCTATGAGTGTTGAGACACAAGAGATTCTTGGTTAATGGAATGGTACTGCACAACATTGTATCTAGGAAAAAAAGAAATTTGCTTTTTGGTCATAGTGACGTCTCTGCAATACCTAATAACTGCTGATAGTTGCATTAGGAATAGGGCAAATCAAACTCCTTGATTAAAACATAGGAAACTCAAAACAGTATGTATGTAACAGTAGAATAAAAACAAGATGTAATGCCATTCTGTGTGTGAAAAATGAAGACTCTCTATGAATAAAGACTGCTTACATATTAAGTCCATAAAATAGTCCACTTTATCAAGTGCTGTAGTAAAACATCTTTTTCCAACATACCAAACATTTTATGTTTAGGCTCCTTCATGGTCTTTTAGCAAATTTTAGACTAGTACTGTGGGAAATGAAAGTTGTGTATAAATATGCAGAATAAATAGCAGTTGATTTTATTGAGAGACTCATCCAGCATCATGTTCCTAAATTTAAAGGCCTGTATCATACCTGTTTTCATTCTTTATTTGGTTCTCACTTAGAGAAGTATTTAGGTAGAACATGAAGGGACACTTAGGGAAGTATTTAGGTCTCACATTGGCCAGTGATCAATACAAAACAAAATCTCTATGGTGAAAGAAAAGGTAAAGGATCTAAGGTAATTATTCAAAGTAAGACAGTTAAACTAATAGAGAAGCTGTCGCTTTTTTACTGTTGTATAGTACATTTTACAATAATAGAATACCTGGGAGTGGGCCTGGAACAGATCCTACAGGAATAATTAAAAGGACTTAAAAGGTTCTTTCAGAAGGTCAGAAATGTAGAAGGCAGTAAGTGGTTACTGTGTTATTTGAGCTGTTAATAACTGCCTTTAGCAAATGTAAACCAGAATGTTTACATATGTTTCTTGAACATAGATAATTTGGCTTCTATCCTGTTCATTACAATTTGCAGGTGTTTTCACCGTTATGTTTACATTTCTCTTGTACTGCTCCTCATCTCTAACATTCACTGTGTAGTGATAGATTAGTAGCAGTTGGTGAATGTCCAGCACACTTTCCTTTAACAATAATAAATTAAACCCACAGCAGGTGGCAGTTTTGGGCAGGAGAGCTGGTTTTGGCAAGAGCTGAATGGTACTGCTGATCCATCAGCCTGATATGCAGAGTATACAGTGCAGCTGAGGTTTGGAGCCTTGAGCTTTTGTTGTGGATTTATTTTGGTTGGTTGATTTTTTTTTTTTTTTTTTTTTTTTTTTTTTTTTACAAAATCTAGTTACCAAGGCAATTTAGAATTGAAAATGAAAGGCAGATGTGTCCACTTTTTTAAAGCCTTTGAATTGGGCTTCTTGGACAAACAGTTTCTGGGTTTTTCTTACCTTGCATCATAAATAAAATCAAGATAGAAATGTAAAATACACTATAAAATGTCATATATTATTGAAAGTCTGATTCACTAAACAGAAAGCAGTTAGTTTTTAATCATCTTTGCTGTAACAAGACATTTATGCATGAATTGCACAGTCAGTTATGTTTTTAAAATAGCTCCTTTTTCTTCAACAAGTGTAACTTGGGAAGTCAGAAAGAAGGGTTTGAAAAATCAACTAAATAAAGTACTCTAATAGCAGACAAGTATCTTTTCCTACTCCTTCCTTTTTTGTGGATGCCCCTATAAATGAAATACCCTGCATAAGCATAAATGCAACCCAGATACAGGAAAGATTAAGTGCTATTTTATACATTCATTGAAATAACCAAGCTACACTTAACACACAAAAAGCCCCCTTGAATGAATAGAAATACTTCCATGGATAGAAGTAACTATTTATTTATACGTAGTCCTTCAGGCTGTAACCTGCATTGCTCTCCTGCTCTGTGGATGGGAAATGGTGCTGCTTCGGAGGGTAGATCCATGCTCCTTGCTGCCTTTTAAAACAGGAAGAGCAGAAGATCACACCTGTGATAAGCAGAAAACCGGCTGAGATGAATCCAGTATAAACTGCTCCTCCTGGTTCGTGTTTGCTACTCTCTGGAACGGTCTGGTCCAAGAAATTGGAAATAATTTCTCTTGTGTACCAGCACGTTGGTACTAATCCAAAGATTCCTGCAAGAATGAAGCAGATTCCTCCAGCAAAACAAGCATTATTTTTGCTGTCAGTATCCCCTCCCAGCCTTGTGCATTTCATTCCGACTGTAGTGATGCAGATCCCAAAGGCTGATAGGATACACGACAGTACCATGGTGGTCCGTGCAACCTGGATGTAGATGGGGAGAGAGAGAATGGAGTATTTCAGGGTACAGCTGAACATCCCAGTGCTGTACCACGTGCAGTCCATCCAAAGTCCTTGCATCTGTGTTATAGCTGTTATGATATTTGAGCCAACGTCTGCATTTACCTTCCAGTTTGGTAGCAAGGTGGCTGCGATATCTCCAAAAACACCAAACAAAGCCAGAATAAAAGCAAAGAACTGCAGACTTGCTGATGCCATGATGGTTATCTTCTGTCACCTTTTGTCTGCCTTTTCTCTCGTGGAAATGAGTAACTGGGAGCTTCGTAGCCAAGCTGTGGCCGTCTGTGCAACACAGAGGAAAGGGGAGGAGGAGAAGTTGGAGGGGGAAAGGAAAAGAAATCAGCAAACAAAAAAAGCTTGCATTTAAAATTAGAGCTATCTGAATGAATATCTAATATGACCCTGCAGCAGCTGAGCTGCTGTACACAAGGTACTTGAACAGAGATGATGGCAAATGGACAGTGCTTTAGAATTGCTTGTAAAAAGGAGCTGCTGCCTTTTCATACATGATTGCAAGCCATCAAGCAAAACTTACTTTACTGCAGTTGGTTTTGGTAATAGCATACACACTGCATGCTTACTAGACAAATACACATTGTAAATGGAACACTAGAAACTTGCGGTCATGTGGTAGGAAAACACACTGGTAGAAAATATACTGTACTTTACAGGTACCTTGTTTAAGTGTCTTGATAGCTGTAGTCAGCTGTTTTTTATAACAATGGGTACTGTTATATTATCTCCTATTTAAATTATGATTAAACGTAACCCCTTATTTCTGTTTTTTAAATATTACCTGTTCATTTTTTTATTAAGTGTTACAAAATATCTTGGCTTTGGAAGAGAATAAAATAGAATTTAGTTTTTGTATTTTCACAATTAATCACATTACTTTTCTAAAACAATATTTAATTTTATTTCATTTTTATTTAAACTTGCCAGTTTTTTATTTTCAGTGATTTCTATTCCATGACTTAGATTAGCAGTATTTAGGAAGACATAAGACTGAATATGGTCTTCTTCTGTCTCTAAAATAATGTTTTTAATACTGGTAAGGAACAGCTTATTTGTAGAAGTGCCTTTTTTTGAATCAGTCACCTGTCTGAAATAATTTGCAAATTTACCATTTAGCAAACTGCCAGAAGTGGCAATTAAAAAAAATAATTTAAAAAGCTCCTTGCTATTATTTTATAAAGAGTCCAGTTTCATTTGACAGATAAGAACATTTTGGGCAGTGTGATTACTGTACAGCTGGGAAGACAGAACTGTTGCTGTCACTTCAGCTGGACTGTTGGGATTGTAGATGCAGAACATGGTTTGAAACCTCTGAGAGGAGGATTAAAAAGTGGTACCCTGCTTTGCCTTCTGCGTGGGGCTGTATAATTGGCAGGATTTGCCTTTTATCAATAGTTGACAAAGGGCAGGCTTCTGTCTTAGACAGCATGATCCAGACTTTCAATCTAAATAGGTACAATGATATTAAAATTGGTCTTCAGCATTAGAACTCCTTTGAAAATCCATAATAATAAGGAATAAAATTAAAATAAGGGGAATACAAAAATATTTGTAGTATTGTACTCTTGTTTCAGTTCATTATGCATAAGGCAACAAGGTTTTGATCAATATGTATTCTATCAGTCTTTAGTGGCATTTCTGAACTAATTTATATATTTATCTTTTATAAGTATAATCCTGTTATCCTCTATTATAATATATAGTATAATTCTCTATATTTTCCCTCTATATATAATTTATATCTTTATACTCTAATATTTTTGTATTGTATTTATTTCAGGTAATTGTTCAAGGATGTGCTAACTTGGTCCAGCATCTATACATTAAAAATACTTAAGGTGAAAATACTAACAGCTATTCATTGTTAAAACCTTATTTCAAAGACCTGCGTATTTCCAAATCCCTTAAGTTTGTTCATGCTGGGAAGAGATGTTCTGGCAGATGCATATCATTTGCTGTACAGGCCCCTGGGAGAGATGGCTTGACTTCCTTTTACAGGAGGAACTGACAGGTCTGGGTCACTCAAAGCTCATTCAAAAACTCAATCATATTCTCATTCATGTTCTGAAAAAGCTAATCAGTATTCTCTATCAGCCTTTTTCATTACTTCCTTTTTAAAAATAAGTATATAAAAACACACAAGCAAAACACTGCAAATAGCAGTTAGCTATACATTACATTTAATGGGGTGAACCAAGTTAAAGGCATGATAATTTCAAGTATAAGCACTACAGTTGTAATTAAAAAAACAGTTATGTTTCATTTCTGTTTGTGAAGGACTTACTGCTGGTTGTGAGGTCTGAGATGTTTTCTTCAGTGTAGATGTCCTGGTAAATGCAGTTTCTCTTGAATGCAACTATCCCTTCTCATATAAAACTGGATTGGCATGTATTAACAAAATTTCTTGGAATGTTGTTTTTTTTCTGTTCTCCACAGCAAGTGCATTACTGTTTGTTCCCTCTCTTAGTTCCATCTACCCGAGAATAAAGGAGTACTTTGTTTAATGAGTTTTGTTTGAAAAACACTCAGTAAGGGAAAGCAAAGAGATTATGGAATAAAACTGACGGCGGCCCTTAGTCCTAAATACATAATGATATCCAGGTTCTATGATGGAAAGTGTGAGCAGTGATTAAATGGAGTAAAATCTCGAGAATCCAGAAACTGTAGACTTACAGGCTGGGGGGAAAATCACTTAAGTTGCACTGAGAGCCAGAGAGTTTTCTTGTTTGTCAGTTGTTTTTTTCATCACAGATAATCTTATTAAGAGTTTAAATTTCCTAGAAAATAACTTTGCAATTTATTTTAATTTGTAATTGGAACAGCAGGACGCTTCTATTCAACTGCAGGCTTTGCTTATCAGTTCCTGATAGCTTTAGCCTTCCATAGATTATCCTGTAACTTGTTACCTTTGTATAAGACTGTACAAAAGAATTAGAGAATAAAGCTACTGGTAAGGCTTCCATGGTAAATGCAACACATCAGAGAAGTGGCCTCGACAAGTTGGTGTGAGAAATCAAGAAGTTGGGAGAATGGTCTTGCTCATTGCAGCAGTGATATACCCACAGGTTCTGTACCTGACCTTGTGTCTCTTGTGATTCTGTTTCTGAGTCTGGTGTGAATGGACTTACTGCAGAGCTGTTCTTACACAGAAATTAGTTTTATTAGTGTGGAGACATAGTTACTTTCTGCTGGAAGTGAGCCAAAAGTAAACTCTCATCAGAACAAGATTGTGCTATGAGTTGCACATATCTGGTGTTAGACCTAACATTTGTAGTAGACAGATAAAATAGTACTGAATACTTGGATTGTGAAAGTGCTGGCTTAGAACTATCTCAGTAGGATCTCAAGCAGTCTGTTTTAATGAAATTGTAATATATTCTGCTTTGGTTTTAGTTCCCTATGAGTAAATGACATCTTGAGGAAAGGTTATGTGGGTTTGCTTTTAATACAGCCCTGTTGCAAGGTACATGTATTGCCCATTATGAGACCTTTGTTTCAGCAATTAGTAAAAATTGTCTCATTTAAGCTTATTCTGATTTAGTGTGTTGATTTCATTAGCAAGGCAGCAGACTTGTGTGAATTAAATTGTACGCTGTTATGTGTTCCTCCTACCCTATGAGAACATAAGCTTTCATTGTACAGTTGTACTAAAACAGTAAGGGGTGAATAATTGCTGTATTATTGACAATTTGGGATGTATTGGTTTAATGATTTTCTTATTCACTATTTTGTAAGACTTGAGTGTTATTTTGTAAATATTTCTAAAATACTTGGTTGGGTGAAAAGCATTACTAGTAAAGTTATCAAATCAAGATGTGTATTTTAAGTGTTCTTATGTACTCTATTGGCTTTCATAATTCTACTCTCTATTTGATGCATATTAAAAGGTATGGGGAAAATAGCATGTATGATTTTAAAGGAGTGGCCATTTACAAATGAAAAGCTTTCCCCTGTATCTGTTGCTATAGTAACCAAGCAGCTTTCCTGGGGTCCAAAGAAAACCGTGTCTATAATGAAACTGAGAAGTGCTGTTTTTTGTTTCATAAGCAGAAATTATTGCCTACTGGCCTTGAGATAGCAGATTGAGCTGTTTGGCTCTAAAGCTGTACACAGTATCTAGATTATGTGGTTTTTTTCCTTCAGAAATTTTTGTTCAAGATGTGGCGCTGACTCCCAAAGAGCCCTTATTTCCCACTTATGAGCATTTCAGCAAAATTGAGGTGACTAGGTGATGCCACATGGACTCTGGTTGTTTTCTTACTCCTAATTTTGTGGGGGCAATGCCTTGTTATAGTTCCTGACCAAAATGTAGATAAACATGTGCATGTGCCCTTAGTGTTTCTGTTCAAGGAGCTGATTGGACATGGGAAGTGTCTCTTTGCTCTGCTCAAAAATATTAACTTTTCTTATACTCAATGTGAACACAAGTTTTTTTTCTATATCCCTGTGGTCTTCCGTATAGGAGCAACCCATAGCAAAGGCAGGTGCTCTGAACACTTGAGAAATTAAAAATCTGCTTTGAGAAATAAATTATATGTGTTTCACTGCAGATCCCATATGCCAAGTTTCTTTGTCACCCGATTTTTAAATACACTCTTGTGTTTCACATTTCAGTAATTTTAAGTATTTTTTCTGTTGTATTTTTAACTCTAGCTTTCAGAGAAGGTGGACAACTAAAGAAAAATACTCCAGTAGTGTATACTTGGGATCAGCAGTGCTAACACTGGGAACTTGCTGTGGGTTTTTAGTTCATCAGCACCATTAATTGGTATTTTCTTTCTTTTTTTTGCTCAGCTTTGTAAGTTCTATCTACATGGAAAAATTATATTGTTTAGATTTTAAAATTCCTTTGAAATTTGTGTTGTAGAAGCATTTGTACTGGATAGATGTACTTAACAGCTGAGCTGTTCCCACAGAAAGAAGAAAATGGATGGGATGGGACTTTTGTGTCAGATTATGTTCACATCAGAAGTTGCTATGAGCAGTTTTGGTTGAAGCAGTAGGAGGAACACTTTCTTTTTTGAAGTACTCTCGTGCTCTGGGTTATCTCGAACAATTGGTACACTGAGACTGTGGTTCAAGCAGCAGCTGTTCTTTGGTCTGATTGTGTCTCTTTTTTCTGTCAGAACTAGCATGCGTGATGATAAATTCATGTTCTGCGAGTGCCAGTATTGACTGTCAGATCTTTTTTAAAAATTCAGTGATTGCCTATCATTTCAGCAGACTCTTTTTAATAAGAGACTAATTTTTTTTTAATCTGGTACTTACAAATTTGTACAGTACTTGTACACATTGTACAAGTTTTCAATGTGCTCCTCCACAGAAATGTTTCATTTTTATTGTTGTTAATCTCTAGTTTGGAAGATTAACTGCTTTATTTGTTGTTATGCAGAAGTGGAGTTTTAGTCCAGCTCCTAATTTTTAATACAGAAGTCTGAATTCAGAAAGTTTCTATATAATACAGTTATAATATATAATATAGTTGCATGGCATACATATATATACACACGTACATAAAAAATACAAAGCGTGTACATGTTATTTCAGTCTGTTTTCAGACACAGAGAAAGTGACTATTCTGTGAACCAGTCTGATTTGAGAACTATCAAAGAATCTCTTCAAGCTTATCTTTGTGGAATCAGTCAAACATTTTGGATGAACTGTGATACACAGTGTAAATACAGAATGTGTGGTCATTTAAACTGAGTGCACTTATTTCTACCTAAAATTCCTTTAAATAGAATAGAAATCTTAAAATGTTGAAAAGCAATTCCTTGGCTGACATTTTAGAAGAGCCCTGGAGCAACAGAAAACTTGTAGGGAATGGGTTTGATTTCTAATTATAATACCAATTTTCTCCAGCTGCCCTTCAGTCTGTGTATCAAAAATTATCTAATTTGTGTATTATGTCAGAATTATCTTGTGGAAGGATCTGAAGACAGAAGTGCTAATTACTTTACAGATTACATGAAAGTTGCTCTAAATGGACAAAGTGCCATGGGGGTAAAAAGTACTAAGTACTGATGGCATGTGAACTAATTGGAAATATGTAGATAACTAAGACTAAAATTCTGCAGGGTCTTGAAAGCTAAGGCAAATCTTTTTATTCCATACCATGACATTAGTCATTCCACAGCTGGCTTACCTCCTGCAAGAATGCCTTCCTATATTTTGCCTGTTTGCTGATGTCTAGCCAGGTAACTTAGAAGTAATGTGTCTCAGAGGAAGATATCTACTCTAATTTATCTTTCTTTTCTGTATAGGTGGATGTGGCTGTGGTGCATTTCACTCCATTGGTGCAACCAAAGATACAGCAGCCATTTGAGCTGGTAGAAAAAGTGGTTCAAAGTGTTTTTCAGTTTAGAAGAAAATACTGCTTTCGTGGAATTGAGTAAGTATTTTTAATGAAAAATTCCCAGGTAAAGTTTTTGTAAATGCAGCACTACTAAATCAGCTATGCATTTGATTTAATTCTTCCAGTTTTAAATCTGTTGTCATAGTTCATCAGATCTTTCTATTTCAGAATGGTTTCTGGACACAAAAGTATGAGATTAATATGTAATGTAATTATGTAATAATTACTTGTGTATTTTTGTTAGTGCAGTTGAAGTTATTAAAAATCACTAGGATAAAGTGGTCATCTTTTCAATAATTTGTCTGTTGCAGAAAGGAAAAAACCCCAACCCAACCACAAAAACTACAGAATGATTGAGTTAAAAACCAAAAGTATCAACATGCAGAACCAAAGATGGTAGTGTGAGGAGTACGTCATCTGTAGGAAATTTTACTTATTTGGGGATAATGTCAAAAGGTCTAATTATGAGTTCTTACTGGCTTTTAAAAAATCCTGGTATCTTACTGAGGGAATTTATTAGTTTCTCTGGTGTGAGAAACCTGCAGTCTTTTTGCCAAGGATCCTGTTTAAACTCCAACACTGCCACGTGTCTGAATTACTATTGGCAACCCATAGCATTCAGCACTGTAGAATGTGTGACAGAGATGCTGTTATGACTAGAGGTATCTGTTGCAGCCTGGGCTCCCTGAATGTTCCTGGGCATAGTTTTGGCCAGTCTAGATTTTGATGCAGTCTAGAATTAGGATGGATACTACCCTACTCTACTACAAGCCTTCTATGTCACTGTTTTAAATAGAAACAAATAATTTTGCATCTAGTTTTGGGTTGTTAGGTTCTTTTTCCTTGAGGCTGTGAATGCCTTTGATATGTGGGATGCAGACATTGGATCTAAAAGAGTATAGGTTTCTCTGTGTTAAAGTTTGAATATCTATTTGGAAGTGTTTAGAAAATGAGGTGTCCAAACTCTAGACTGGTTTGTTTTTGACTTACAAAAGTCAAAAGGGTGGTGATGGTTTTTTTCTTTTTTTTTTTTCCTTTTTTTCTACTGTGGAGGAACGGTTTCTCTTGACAGAAAGCACATGCAATCAGCATATCTATGTTGTGTACAGTATTGTACACAATAAAGTTGTGTTTTTAAACCAAAGTTTAAAAAAAAATCTCCCAACTTCTGTGTAATCTCAAATTGCTAATAACTGCTTTACATTCTTTTGAGGCAAGGAGGGGGAACTGAACTTTTGGACGTCACGTATTCCCCTAGCAGCTTATCATACCTTAGCCCTAGTTTGCTGCTAAGAAACACAATCCTCTTATTCTTTAGCTGACCTGAAAAATATAGCAAATTTTGGTGTATAAAAAAGCTGTAAAGTTCATCATAAGGTTCTCTATCACACAGACTGTATGAAAACAAGGCAATAGGATCACTTTATGTTTGTGTATGAGTTCTGGGATTTGAGATGTGAAATATAAGATTGTGCTATGAAGTCCATATTATAGTTTGAGTTGTGATTCATGACATTTGTATGATGGTTCATAGTCTGTTAAAAAAACACTAAGTACACTTTGCTCCTGGTATTTTTTTTTAACTATGGAATCAAAGGAAAGAGGGATACTGAAATAAAAATTGACCCACTGCTGACCTAGATGCTGAACTAATGGGGATATTTTGACAAAAGCCTGAAGTAGCATATACAGGTTTCCCAGAAGTTTCATTTTTCACTTATAATTTTAAACCCCTTCTTAACTTTGTGTTCTGTGTACCCACCAGGAACCAACTATCATTTCTTGCACAAACCCTTTGGACTAGTTTGTCCAGCCAACCTGCCAAACACATCTTGGGGGATTTGGGGGGGCAGGGTATGTGTTCCTGTATTAGATGCACAATATTTTTAGGTATTATGTATATAACACAGATAGAATTTGAAAATTGAGAAATGCCCATGAATCATGTTCAGATTTTTTGCCTTTCTGGCCTCTTTTAGACTGAGAACTACTGCTAATAAGAGGTGGTCCTTCAAATAGTTTGCACTGTGTAGTATGTATTTTTGTGTGACATTAAAAATCACTTACCTATTACTCTTCATTCAAATCTGGGGAACTTCCCAGAGAGAGGTGCTAATGGATCTAGCTGTAGAGTAGATGTACTAATGTGCCTATCTGTGAACAATGACAAAGCTGAAAACAAAATCTAGGACTCCTGCCACATTCTCCCACATTCTAAATATTAAAAAGTGAATGGCAATTAAATGTTTTTTTTCTTTCTTGGCTTTTTTTTCTGACATTAGAATTAGGGTATTAATGACAAGTGGTAACTGTATTTTCTATTGGAATGGAACAGTCTGAAAGAAAGTAATATTTATTTGAATCTGATCTGTTTTACACAGTTTAATCTGTTGTTGCTTTCTAAATATGAGGCTAATTCTAAGAAGGCTCTGTGCTTGTAACCATACCCAAAGCTCTTTTTAATGTTAGCAAAATGAACATACATGCTTTTAGTCTAATATAATGTATGTATGTGCTATGGTGTCATAATTTGCATTTGCAGAAAAAGGACCCTTATAAGTTTCCATTGCTCAGATAATAAAGAATTTTAAGAGTGCCAGAGCTAAAATAGTGACATAATTAATACAGGTTTACCATTAAGTAAATTTCACATTACTCTTAAGGAAAATGTAATTGTCTGTGTGAATTGCTGAAATTTTTCTTTACCCCTTATCTTTTAGGACCTTGTTTCCTGAAAAGGGGCGCTTGAAAAGAACAGAACGGCTGATGATGACAGCAAATGTTGATCCAACTCTGCGTCCTTTTCAGCTCTCTATGTCACAGTTTAGAAACCTGTGCAATGCATACAGGAAAATGTGTGATGAAGACCCAAGCCTTTTTGTGTTCAACTACAGAGAAGAACTGCGGCAAAAGAAGATGACAAGAAGTTTACTTGGAAGTACTGGTCAGCCTGAACAGACTGAAGAGGAAAATCAGCTGTGACAGCACAATTCTCGTTTTTTTAAACTAGTTTTAACTCCTTGATCTACAGGTGTTGACTCAGTCAAAGAAGGTTTAGATGGTCCTACATCTGTGCAGATATGAAAGACTTACTTTTGAGAAAGTGGTAGAGAGAGAAGGCATCTCTCTATTCCATTCATCTGCAGACAAAAGGGAAAGGACAATCCAGGGATTTTTTTACTTCAGGGAAATGGCTAGAACACATACCGAGAAACAAGGTGCGTTGTGAGACAGTAATTAAGTTGCAATAAGTCTGATATAATTGAATTCTGTTTGAATGAAAGTGCTTTACTGAAATTGAAGAAAAATACTTTTCAGATATCAGCACATAAGATAGTGTTGGGTTTTTGTGCTTTTTTTATCCTGGAACATCCTACTGTGCGGAATAACTTAAAAAACAGAAGCCAAGATTCTTATAAATACACTCAAGTGACTGGCTTACGGGAGGATAAAGTGCACCAATTGCCTCAAGGTCTGCTAATACTCTTCTCATTTATGCAGAAGCAAAGAATTTGGGACTTAAAGCTCCAGTTACAGAAAAGCAGCACAATAAAAAGTAGAAAACATGGCTAAGTACAATACTTATTTGTCTTTTACTGTACAGGCTCATAGAGAAAATAAAAAATACAGTCAAATAAAAGATTACAGGCCAAGCTTTGTTTCTGTATTTACACATATGTATAAAGTATAAACAGCATTGAAACGTACAAAAATGAAACTTCTGCACTGTTGTGCACTAAAACACATTAAAATAACTTAATTGTGCTTTAAATAAAGCAAACATGAAAACCAAAGAAATAAAATGCCCAAGGTATTGAAAAATTCAGTTTGCAATGCTCCTTTCCATTGTAAACCCCTCTGCCACTCACTAGCACCTTTTCCACATTACTTAAAATATTAACGAGGCCATCCCCAAGAACACTACATTGTCTTAATAAATGTTTGAAAGGGATGAACTAATTTACAAACCTGGGCCAACTTAATCTATTTTTGATCCACAATAAATTAAAATAACTTAAGAATCCTTTACAGCTGTTTTTGAGCAAAAATGTATTAGTGCACAAAATCAGAGAGTAGTTTTCCTGCAGCTTCCATGAATTTACTAGTTTTAAAGCAAAATGTTTGTTCAATTTTATGTGGACTTTAAATGAATGTTTTAATATTGAGCTAGGATGTTCCATGCCTCTCCACAGCTTCATAAAAACAGTCCTCATTAACTACAGATGTTAAACTCTGGACACTAAATTCTCTCTCTAAAATAGAGTTCAGATCTAGGTTTGCAGCATCAGAGTGACTGTCAAGGGATTGGTGACGTTCTTGCATTGCCATTAGAGTTCCTCTGCTACGCTTTGTGCTGTTTAGTTTTCTCTTCACTGGGCAGAAATGGCCCCGCACGAGCTTTGGATGCTCTGCTATCTGAAAGCCATCTTCTTCCTCATTTTCAGCAGCCTGATCCTGTTCAGAGTCAGCACTGGGTTCCTCTGAAATCTTCAGCCGCTGGAACTGTATTTCAATGTCTTTTGTAGGGCTGCCTTTCTTTAGGTTCTGATAGTCCTCATCATCGTCATCATCACTGAGAATATCGGATTCTTTGACAAGAACATTAGAAAAGTCAGATGCAGTGCTCTCTGCACGTTTATCAGGAGATGAATTTTTGGTCTCCTGGATGCTCTCAGAAGTGTGGCAGCTGCTGCTCTGAGTGCTGCTGCTTAGGCTGCACTCATCAGAGTCCTGGAAGGTGCCTTTCCCCTGGTCACCATTCCACTCGCTACTGGACGACTTCTTCAGTACCTTCAAGGATCTCGTGGAAGCTGTGCAGAGTAAAACTGCAGGTTTATTTTTTCAGCAAAAAACATGGTTACTCCTTTTATCTTAGTATCCCACTTATGATTATGATGGACATAGTCATTCTAAGTCAAATGTGTCAGCACCCTGATACTGACAGTGTGCTCCCCATGTTACAGTTTTCATTACACCTATCCTAGGGCTCTGTGCTTTCCTTCATGTGTAATATGTATCAAATCCTCAAAAAAGTGTAGTCATAAATTAGACACTTCTTCAGAAAGAATGACTGACTTATGCACCTCAAGCACTGAAGGGCCCAGATGTAGGCAGCAGCTGAACTGTTCCAGGTCCTCTGACATTAAGGGGATTTTACAGAGGACTGATCTGATACAGAACTTGAAATATTAGTTACTACTCATTTAACTAAAATGTCTGAAGCCTGTACTTAATTACAGTATCAGCTGGGATGCAGATTTAGTGCAGTGAAAGGAGCAAGACCCCCCTGCCTTTTCCCTGTTGTTCTAGCTACAAATGTTATTAGGGCTGAGTTACTAAAGGGAACCCAGAGGAAAGAATGATAATACTGTATGTCGAAGGCTGTCTGTTCCTTCCCAGCAAAATTAATTTGGGCCTTATTAAGTCTTCTCTGAAGAGATATAATGACACATTGCAGTGTGGGGAAGTGTCCTTATCTCCTGTAGCCCTTGTCACACACTGAGTTGTAGAGAAAGTACTCCTGCTCCAGTCAAAAAAAAAAAAACAAAAAAAAAAGGGATTTGTGGGTCTGACACATGGCACTCTATGGTCATGGTAATAATTGTGAATGCCCTACCAGCACCAGAATCTGGACACTTTAGTTTTCACTTGAGAAGGTGTTTCTTACCCAGTTTGGCTGTTGCAGGTACACGATTCTTAAGTGGGATGAGGCGATCTTTACATTTTTTCTCCAGTGGTAGCTCACATTTTATGTGACGTCTGAAATTCTCCCGCAGAATAGAACGGATGACCTTCACAATGTTAGTCTTGTTCTCAGAATCACTGCAAGTTTAGAGAAAACACAGAACTTAATTTCCTTGCTGAATTAAGACTTTCTGCTTATGGGCTTTAGTGCAGTGGGTTTTTTTCAAAAGCTTGCTCTAGTAGTGGGTTTACAGCTATCATAAGATCATAGAATGTTCTGGGTTGGAAGGGACATAAAGGTTATCAAGTTTCACCCCTGTACCATCAGCAGGGACATCTTAACAGTGTTAGACATTTCACACACCTTGTGTTTTCTGACACCTTGTGCAGATTTCTGACATTGGATCACTACACCTAATTCACCCATTTGAATTTTTTATAGTTTATGCAGTAAAAGACTTGCATAGTGCCTAGCTTCAAATTTGCCACTTTGATACTGCTGATGTGAAGGTCACATGGGGGAAAATATTTTCTTTTTTTTTTAATTCCATTAATGTGATTTGAGGACTACAACCTCCATGTAAAGCTTACCTGCTGCACAACTGAAAAATTGTTTCTGGCCTGCCTTCTAGTTCTGACTTTGTGTGAATCAGTTCCCAGATACAGCTGTTCTCTGTTCCTGTGCATGGAAGGAAACGTTACTTTTGCATACACTCCACAAAACCTTTGGCATTAGAAAGACCAGGGTAGAGCTCCTCCACTCTCCAGAAGGCAATGTTAACTCAGCCACACATGGAGCTACAGAAGATCTCACCCAAGGTGGAACCCAAGAGAAAGTCCCCTAAGCTCTCTGTTGCAGCAGCCTAGTACTGCCTTTGATAACTTCTCTCTTGGAGAGGTGCTTTCCCCCATTCTTTCTGCTTCTGTATCTTCCAGCCTTAACAGGCCTTCACATAGGTGTGCTCTAAAGACCTTGTGACACTTTACAGAACATACAGAAGTGGATAGGACTATAAAGATCAGCTTGAAAATAAACCCACAGCCCTTTACTACCACAAATTAGTCACCTTTCCACTGTTGAGGATCAGCACACACACAGCACCAGTGTGTCATCAGAATGTCAACTACAGTAAACCACCTGCTTTTTATTGGGAATTTCCATTCTGTCATTCCTTCACATCATGTTACATCTCCCTTAATGCACAGAAGTCAACATAACAAATGAAGAAAATCTGTAAATGTATCAAGCCTGTAACCCCCCGAGTACAGAGACAACAGTGGATAGATGGTATTTTCTCTACACCTGCTTGTTTCCAGAGGCTCAGAAAGACATCTGTAAGAAGTAGCATTACAGAATTCCAGAAAAGCATTCAGTCCTAAAGTATTTACTGCAAGATCGTTACCTGCTGTGTTCCCCAGTCGAACTTGAAGAGCAGATAAAGGAATCAACCAACGAAATTTAAATGGATCCAAGTCACCATAATTATGTGCAGCACGAACATTTGTAGGCTGTAAAAAGAAAACAAAGGATATTTCTAAGAAGTAGAAGAAATAGTGGTGTTTCATGCTACTCTTACAAGATGTGCCTCTTAAGAAAAACTAAATTGATTAAACTTTCCTTCACTACCTTAAAATGAACTTGTAAATGTAGTTGAAATGGTGATAGACATAACCTTGGAATTCATAATTGCTTCAACTTTTAAAAGCCATTTGATTTTAACTGATAAAAATAATATTTTGCCTATAAGTACTACCAGGGAAGAAGTTTCCTGTGAAAGAACATACAGACTGTCGATTAACAGAATACATTAATTATCTAGCTGCTGCTGCTGCTACTTTTAGAGCTCCTCCATCTGTTACAATGAGCATGGTGCAGTATATCAACACTGATACTTGGAACATACAATTTGCTACCTGACTTCCACATTTCAGATCTGTAAGTGGGTGCAGAGAAGGTTATGTTTATAATGCCCCTTTTCCTTTCCTTTCAGGGTAATCAAGGGCCCATAAAACAACGATCTTTCACCTGCACCCTGTGGTAAGGTAGGCCATTGTAAATGCTATCTGGAAGAATTAGTTATTTCTGCATAGCAATGTTTCATCTTCCACTTGATTAAATTAATGTGGAGCTCACACAGATGATGCTGCTTACTAAATAACAAAAAAATATTTATTGCTACACAGATACTAAGCATTTGTTTCAGCAGGATAGCCAGAACTCCAGCCTAGTAAGGGAAAGTGGTGTTTCACCTCAATCACTCCCCCTCTAACATTGTTATGGTCCATCTCACTTTGCAGTAATATCCTGAACATCCACCATCTCCATTGATACCAGACTTACCATTTTCTTTTTCAGTTTGTAGTTCTCCTTATACACCAGTATTACAGCCCTCTTAAAAACTGAAAAGAGAAGAAAAGAAGAAAAGTGTTAATTATAGGCATGATATTACAATATTCAGTGGAAATACGATCTTGGAGAAGCTGATTATTATTGTCATGGGAATGTGAAGGATAAGACAAACAATCATTGAAAAGCATTTGCCCTGTGTTGAGATGACAGCTGGGTTTTTCATCCTGCACTTCCATGCAATGGCAGAGTTCTTCCCTCAGATTTTGTTCTGAACATTTAGGATGAAGCCATTCTGTACATTTATTCTGAAACTACCAGTAACCACCTATCTATCTCCCATAAGTTTTCACATAAACAAATACAAAATATGTAGGTTAGATGTAAGATTTTTCTTTCTGCAGACAGTGGACATTTTCAAGTGGAGTGAAGGGCAGGAGAGTGATGTGAAGGACACAGTCTGTTCTTTCTGCAGTTTAACAGTTTGCTCTTCTGTTTGGAGCATCCCCTCCCCTAACCATGCTTCCTAGGGAAGGAGCGCCCTGAGAAAGATATACCTGTCTGTCATCAACCTGGAGTTCTCTGAAGGTGTTTATCCACTGAAATATTAAAACAATTTTT